CGGCCGTCCCGCCCGGCCTCTGCGCAGAGCCTCGGACCAGAAAACAGGCGGCAGGGTGGGGAGACAGCGCTGCCTCGAGGAGCTGCGGGTGGGAAGGGGCTGGGACTCGGCAGGGAAGCAGGCAGCAGTGAAAAGGTGGGACTGGTTGAAGTGAAAAACCAAACTTGCTGCACCCTTCAGAAAAGATCTTCTGAGCTGCCCTGTTAACAGTGATTTCTCACCTGTCTTTGGCGATCGAGAGTTGTTAGGGATGAGTGTGATAGAAATACAAGTTATGTTAAACCAGGAAAAAAGGTCCTGACTCAACAGAGTCTGGACATGGACAAAGATTTACCAGAGTATCCTTAATCTCAGAAATCATGAAGTTAAAAGTAGTCATTCCTTTAGATTTTTATTGATGCATGGCTCTTACTGGGGCCATGTCTCTTTGGGGTTTTTTGTAGGAAAACTGTGTAATCTCTGTTCTTGACAAAATGAAGTAGCTCCTGAGAAAGGTGATGGAGGTGACGTCTGCTGGGTAACTTCACAAAGATTAGATAGGATGGTGCGTTCAGGTCAGTGATGTTCTTTCAACAGGGGCTTGCTTTAGCCACTGAGGCAATGGCATCTTCAGCTGTGTATTTGTGCCTCCAATAAGGTCTTTGTTTTCAGCACAGTGGTACAGAGCATCTTCACGGGGAGATGGGACCACAGTGTGATATCACCAGCTAAAACCATGGATTGAGCCCTCTTTCTTCCTGTTGTGTTTTCAAACTTCCCTGTATAAACGCTAGGCCTGAAATCTTTATTTTTTAAATGAAAACAGAGCTGCTCTTGAAATCGCATGACTCTAGAAGCTTGAGATTGATAAAAATCCATAACTGCCATGGCAACTGGTAAAATTGCAACACATTATGCCTTCTTTTGTCCAGTCAGCTCTTCTCTGCAGGGTCTCCATGGGTACCTCAGACTCGCACAGCTCCTGCTGTGCAGAAGCAGGTGGTCAGCCCTGCGATGATGCAAGGTCATTCTTTCCAAACCAGAGTGATTAAGGGTTCAGCTAACTCTTTTTCTGGTACCTTTCCAGGCTCCTGGTCTGCAGCACCATGCTGTGTCCCAAGCCTCACTCTGCAAGCTGGAGGTGAATCCAGGTGAAAGCCAGCTATCGCAGTAGGTGCCAGGATGACCAAAGCACGTCTCCTCCGTCTCTCTGTGGTGCTGGTCTCCATCTTCATGATCCTCCTGATCATTGTGTACTGGGACAACGTGGGAACAGCTCACTTCTACCTGCATACGTCCTTCTCCAGGCCTCATTCCTCAGGAGCCATCCCTGGTATCGTGGCAGGTGAAGACTGGGAAGCCTTGCCAGATGTGGATGAATTTTTGGCAAAGCTGCTTAGTTCGAGCCTGAAACAGAACAGCTCTATTGCCCGAAAGACAGAGCAGCTACTTGTCCAGGGCTCCACCAAGCCTGTGGTGAGCAATTTGGAGGAGAACGTGCGGGGCTATGACTGGTCTACGCACAACGACAGAAACAGCTTGGACCAAGAGAAACTGCAGACAGAGAGGCAGAGAACCTTGCGGGAGTTTTGTGCCAATTCCAGCTTCACCTTCCCCACCAAGGAGCGTTCCTTTGATGACATCCCAAACTATGAGCTCAACCACCTGATCGTGGATGACCGCCACGGCATCATCTACTGTTATGTCCCCAAGGTGGCCTGCACTAACTGGAAACGGGTGATGATTGTGCTAAGCGAGAGCCTGCTGGATCAGGGGGTCCCCTACCGGAACCCTCTGGATATCCCCCGGGAACACGTCCACAACACCAGCACCCACTTGACCTTCAACAAATTCTGGCGCCGTTATGGGAAGTTCTCACGGCACCTCATGAAGATCAAGCTGAAGAAGTACACTAAATTCCTCTTTGTACGAGACCCTTTTGTCCGCCTCATCTCTGCCTTTCGCAGCAAATTTGAGCTGGAGAATGAAGACTTCTACCGGCGTTTTGCCATCCCCATGCTAAAGCTGTACTCCAACCATACCAACCTTCCCACCTCTGTTAGTGAGGCCTTCGGGGCAGGCCTCAAAGTCTCCTTTTCTGACTTCATCCAGTACTTACTGGATCCCAGGACAGAGAAGATGGCCCCCTTCAATGAGCACTGGAGGCAGGTTTACCGTCTGTGCCACCCGTGCCAGATAGACTACGATTTCATCGGAAAGCTGGAGACGCTGGATGAGGATGCTGCATATCTATTGCAGCTCCTCAAAGTGGACAAACTGCTTCGCTTCCCTCCCAGCTACCGGAACAGGACTGCCAGCAGCTGGGAAGAGAACTGGTTTGCCAATATCCCACTGGCTTGGAGGCAGCAGCTCTACAAGCTTTACGAAGCAGATTTTGTACTCTTTGGGTACCCCAAGCCAGAAAATTTGCTTAAAGACTAGAAGTGATTGGGTGGTGGGTGTGGGAGGGAACATCTGAAATACCAAAAATGTTTAAAGCCTCATTTTTGCTCTTAACTCCCTTCCCCGTACAGGTTGGTACAACGGAATATATTTTTTCTACTGCTTCCCCTTCTGTTTTTGCAATAATGCCAGAGTCCAGGGGGTTCCAGCCAGCTGTTCACATGCAAAACATGCCATTTTTTTTTGTTATCATCTATTTTCTGTTTTTTAAAATGTCCTGATGTTTTGCAGTGGGTCACTGCCCTTGGTCACTCTGCCAGCTGTGTCTTTCAGTAGCTTTTTATTAATACTTTTTAAAAATTAATATATTTAAGCTATTTAATACAAACTGTGTGTCATGGCAAAGGAAGGGAAGGAATTGAAAAAAAAAAGTAAAAGAAAAAACACAAGAAATGATGCACCTGCCTCTGTGTGTTGTCTCAGGGCTGCTGTTTCGGAGGTCCGAGGTTTGCAGAGCACTCAGATCTCTTTGGGAGCTGGGTTTGTCGGTGGTGCCTTCACCAGCTGTGTCTGCTGGCGGTCGCTCCGAGCTGGGCTCCCGGCAGAGCGGATGGGTCAGTGCCTGACTCTGCCAAACAGCCCTGGAAGAATGCCGATGCTCCAGAGATGCTCGCCGCCGGCGAGCGTGGTGGTGGGGTCACAAGAAGGAAATGGTGGTGGGAGCAGTGACGCCAAGCCCAGTGGGGTGTTCCGGGACGTGCAGGTTGCCAACGCAGAACCTCTGCGCTGCTTCGCCATTCGGCAGAGTGCTGGTGGGACGCTGCTTCCCAAAAAACTGCGGTTCCTCAGCCCCTGTATACCTCGCTAGTGTGGAGCATCTCCCGTGACGTGTCCTGTTCCAGGAAGGTGCCTGAAGTTCCTGGGGGTTGTGGCCGCCCTGGATGGGCAGAGCGGGCTCTTGGATGGACGTGCTGTCTGGAAGTGGGCATCCAGGCTTCACGCTGCGGTAGCTTAGACAGAAACGCGAGTCTCTATCGCAGCTGGTTACGGGGTGGGGAGGTGGTGTGCTGCTGCGTGCGGCACAGGTCCCTGGAGAACTGTGCTGTGTCCTCGCTCCTGTGCGTGCTTTAAGGGGCTTTAAGGGGCTGTGGCAGGGATGCGGATGCTTATCCCTGGAGAAGAAGATCCGAAAGTTTCAATAAGCAGGTGTCAAGGTGAGCTCAAAGTTCATTTGTTTTCAGAGTGCCAGCTAATGTTTGTGACGCTGCATCCTCATCCGCTGCCTTTCTGTTTGTACCAAATGACTGATGCAGATTTAATCATCTGCCTTGCTGGGACCTGCTGCAGGAGCGGTGGTTGCCCACTGTGCTAGGAGCATGTGGGCTGCTTCCCAAAGGAAATTAATGCTTTAGAGAGACTTTTTGCGTCTCATCAGCTGAATTTGCTTCTCTTTTTCCCTCTGAATTGCTCTGCAAAAACTGTCTGCTTAGCAGATTGGGCAGGCAGCTCTTTCAGAGCTGAAATGCTTAATTATTTCCCTGGGCTGTGGGTGCTATAGGTGATTAAGGTCCAGGGTCAGGCCTTGGAAGGCAGCCTTGTGTTCTGAGCGGACTTTGTTATATTGGCCTTTTACTTGGTTTCTCTCCGAGGCCATCAGCAGGCGTGACTTTTCCCCTCCCTTTGTATGCATACGTCTTGGCATTGCATGCTCTTCCTAGCAAATACGCCTATCAAGCTTTTTAACCTATAAATGAAAGGTAATTGCTGGTAGTTAAACTCGAAGCAAATGGTTTGTTTCTCATTGTATTCGCATCACTCTCCTGTAATTTCTGCTGAGATATTTGCAGTTTAAATGAGCCTGAAGCCACAATCAGGGTCTTGGTGCTTAGCTCTTCACAGCTTGGGGAAAAAGGAAGTGCCTGTTTCTGAGTCATTTAAAACTAATAATAGAAAAGTGTTGATCTATTCAATTTTTCTCCCAGTTACCAGTTACCTAATTGCTGCAAAACAGAAAGACGCTGAGAATCTCATCTCCTGTAATGAGTAATCCCGGGAGTCTCTTGGTTCCTGCCACGTTTACATTTCTTCAAGGTGGGTTCATCTCACTCGTCAGAGATACAGCATGGATGTTTTCATCTCTTCTCTTTACAAAATGTTTATTTTTTGATCTTTTAATTTAAGTTGAATTGATGTTTAGTATGTGTAGAGGTGGGCAGCTGGGACCGTAGTGCAGATGCCATGCAAACTTCCTTCCATCTGCTTCCCCTGTGTCACACCCCAATAATGAGTGATTAAATGTCCTGCTCCGTTAATGAGAGTGACTCAGATTTCCCGATCCCCTCAGCTGGATTAAGGTGAAATGACACCTGTATCACTTTGCAATATTTATTCACAGTTATGATAAGGAAACTACAGTGGTCCAGTTATGATAAGCCGTGGTTTTATAGTTTCAAAGGAGAAGGAAAAGAGCATAGGGGAGACAGAAGAGACAGAAAGGAAAGGAGGAAGAGGGAGAAATAGCAAGGTATCACCAGTCCTGAGTCCAGCGTTGATCCAGCCAGAGGAGGGGATTTCCAGGCCCTGTATCACTTTGCAATATTTATTCACAGTTATGATAAGGAAACTACAGTGGTCCAGTTATGATAAGCCGTGGTTTTATAGTTTCAAAGGAGAAGGAAAAGAGCATAGGGGAGACAGAAGAGACAGAAAGGAAAGGAGGAAGAGGGAGAAATAGCAAGGTATCACCAGTCCTGAGTCCAGCGTTGATCCAGCCAGAGGAGGGGATTTCCAGGCCCTGGGGGGTGCTGCCCGACCGGTCGGGTGGTCCTTCTTTTAAACCCCCTGTGTCCTGCCCCTCGGCTGACTTGTTTGCTTTCGGTGCCAATTAGATGACCTGTGCAGTCTGAGCTTCTGGAGTCTTCCAGAAATGGGTCTGGGGGATGTCGAGCCTTCTAGAAATGAGTCGGTGGTCTTGCTCCCCCCTTGTCAGCTTCTTGCTTAGCTGGCTCAGTTCCTGTGTCGGTGGTGTTATCTCCAGGCTGCACAGATAAGGCAGTTGTTTCCAAAGGAGTGCTGCCCCACCTTAGCAGAGCCCCCTCCCTCAGTTAACAACTGCGCTGATAGGGTAACAGCTGTCTTCTTCTGGACCAGATGTCTGAGACGCCTGCTGTGTGGACTCCTACGCCCTGCGCCTCTTGAGCTGGTCCTGTCTCGTCCTGCCCCTCCGACCAGCACTTGGCCGATGTACCCCCGTGACGCCGGCTCACGCTGCGCACCAGCTGCTCCCTCTCCAGCCACGGTTGTCCTGTGATTCATGGCCGTGGCTTGTCCCCGGCAAGAGCCCAGGAGCATCTTTTCAAGGTCACCAGCTGTCAGTCATCCGGGGAAGAGGAGGAACGGGTTGCAGTGCTACCAATCATTTTTGACAGCAAGCTCCGGTTGTGCAATTGGCGGGGAAGGTGCGAAACGGCTGAAAATCCTGCACAGCTCCATGTGATGTGGTAGTGTATCCTCTCCTTATGGCTGCCTTGTAATTTAACAGCAATAGGAGAAAAAGCCCTCCTTACCCTTGCAGACTTTGGCTAGAGAGAGGAGACTTTGAATGCACTGGCTTATCTCCTCTCTCCCCATCCAAAGCCAGATAAAGGGGGTAGATTCCAGCATTATGTGCTGATACTGCCCTGCATCACGCTAAGGTCCAAAACACCCCTCGTGCAAGGTTCACTAGGCTGCCTGCATCGCAGTGGTTTCATCAGCCTGCCGAAGAGCTGCAGGCGGGAGAAAGAATGGATGGATGACAGAAGGCCACTGAGGGCTCTGTCTTCTGCACTTTCCCTCTTTCACCCCATCAAGTCCACCGTTCGCTGACGTATAAGACATTTTAATGTTTGTAGGCACATACCCGACCAATATACTGGGTGCTGTTGGCACTTTCCTTGTCTCCCGCTGCCACTCTTCAGAGCACTTGCTGGGAGGAGCAGTAAAGCTCAGATGGAGAGGGCTCATGTTGCGGTGGAGGGCTTCTGGGTTCAAAATGGCTTGTTCCTTGCTGCTCTTTTCTTTTGAAGCCCTCCTTCCCCACCCTTCCACCACTGTGAGTGTATTGTTAAGAAGTCAAAGGGGATCCAGGCTGTGCTGAGCTCTGTGGTAAGACCACTGGGTTGCCAGTACTGGGACGTAGCCTCCGGCTTTGGGAATGCACATTTTTTGTGGGTTTCTAGCTCTGTTCTGATGATGTAAAAGGAGGGGAGGCAGGGGGAGCAGGACAAAGAGTTCAACCAGCCATGCTTCCTTCCCCCCTGGTTTCCTAAAGGAGCTGGAATTTGGTATTTGACAAATAAAGGCAGAATGATTGGAACTGGCAGGCGGTATGCATCTGTGCTGGCCTGAAGTCAGAAGAGGGCTAAAAATCCCAAAGTGTAGATGGTAATGATGCTAGTACTGATTTTATAAGGGGTGGTAAAATGCTTTGAAGAGGCCTGTTTGTGTCTGAATAAACCTGGCTTTGTTATTTCATGCTCAGCCTGCAAAGTTACGTCCTGTTCCCCTCCTGGCTTGCTTTTCCCTGGGGTTGACCACTTGGCCAATGTCAGCATGGAGTCTCTAACCAGGCAGAACTGATGGGCAGATGCAAAAATAGCCTGGGGTTTGACCAAGGTGTTTCCAGACAGATAGAACTGAGACCAGCTTTAGTGCTCACTCAGCGCTGGAGCCAAAGCCTTTACGCAACCACTGAACAGATTCGGTCCCTTGCTGTTCTTTGCCGGATTCGGCACTCCGGTGGGACGCGTGTGACCTGGCCCTGCAGCCCCTGCGTCCTCCCGGGAAGGACTGTCAGGCCTCAGAGCTCTTTGCTTTTTCAGCAGTGACATGGCTGTGCCAGGGTACAGAGTGTCCTTAAAACAGGAGTACCTTTGCATCTCGGTAGTTTTTGTCTTAACCCTTTAATTCACATGTGGTTTAGGGGGACAAAATTGTAGACCCATTACCCAAGGACAACAAAAATTTTGCCCTGGGGTAATGTGGGAGATGAAGTGTTT